CAGTAGCTTTGTTTCAAAAAAAAAAAAAAAAAGTACTGCCTTGACAGAATCAGACATATCTGTTTTTTACTATATTGAATATTATCTAGTTACAAAAACATAAGTTTTTACTTTGGAAATATAATTTAAGACACAACCCACCCCACACCCAATAATTGGTTATTAATAAATTAAACTACATGAAACTGTAACAGAAGTGAACACAGCAGAAATACAAAAATCTCAGCGACTATACTTTGTCTATACTAGAGATACCTTGGAAAAACTGAACAATCTCCTCTTTGCTGCAACCAAATGGCAGACCACGAAGTCGTACTACTGTTCCATCATTAGATGCATCATTTGGGCCATTATGTTTCCCACTCCAGTCCATTTTTTTCTATTAAATGAAACACTACAGGAAAAAACACACAACAAAAGAAAGAGAATCAATGTATTACTAAGCTCCACTAAAAAAAAACAAGAGTCCAGGTTTCTTATGTTGAGAAGTTAAAAGTTACGTGAAGATTACCAGCTCTATCCCTATTATACACTTGAGTTGCAGTATAATAGGGAAGAAGCATCAAACTTTGATAATAAGCATGACTTAATTCAGCACGCTGCCAAATCTGAGGGGCTATGAGTATGTATCCTCACTGGTGTTGCTTAGAGGCATATAAGATTACAGGAAAAACACTGGCAGACTTGAGGAAAACAGATTAAGTTTTGTTTCAAGAGACAGAAGGCTAGAATGCATTTTTACTTGGCCTGCTGTATTGATGCAACTGGAAGACCTCAGGATAACTTAGGGGAGTTTTTTTTTTTTTTTTTTTTTTTAACCCCCAGACAATTAAAAGGCAGCAGAAAGAACATAAGTATCCATGCACTGGGAGACAGAGATACACTGAGCTGGGATCAAGACCTGCAGCCCGGTCCCTATAAAGGCACACCCTTCCTTTTGGCTACTATCCAGGCACGATTCAAAGTTCCCAGGCTCGCTGCAATTCCCACCACACACGGAACGTGCTCCCTACGCATCCCCCACACTGAGCAAGTGCAGGGCTCTGCGGCACAAAGGGCCACAGCTCAGAGCACGAGCAGCGCAGGAGGGCGGGGCGGCTTCTCAGAGGTACGCGCCTAGTTACTGTCCCGTGCCCGCAGCTTCACGCGCCAGGTCCGGCCCCGCAGTGCGGGAGCCGCAGCGGCCGCTCGGGCAACCCGATCTTCATCGGCGCGGGCGGCCCCGCCCCCGCCAACAGGCAGGTGTGACCGGCGCATGCGCCGCCGCGTCCCGCGCGACCTCACAATGGGCCGCGCGGCCCCTTCCCGCGGGGATAAGCCGTCTTTGTCAGTCGGGGACAGGGGAGGCGCCGCTCCCACCCACGGGGGCCATTCCCGCCGCCAGCGGCAGCGCCAGAGGCCTCCGCGCCACGCAGAAGGGAGACAAAGGCTTTGCCCGCCCCCTGGTCGCCATTTCCCGCCGCTGCGCGGGCACCGCCCCCGAGGCTCGGGAAGCCCCGCGTTCGCCCAATCCCGGCTTCCTAAACCACGGCGGCACCTCCGCCATCCGGCCGCCGCCAGCTCCTGCGCGCAAGATGGCGGCGGCAGCCCGGAGTCAGGCCCCGCGCACAAGCCTTTCCCCGCCCCGCCGCTCGTGCCGGGCCCGAGCTGCTGTAGCCGCCTCGTCCCGGGCGGGCTGGGCTGCGGCTACCTCGGGCCCGCCTCGTCCCACTCACCGGCAAACCCTCCCGCGCCTGTGGAAGCGCGGCGCCGGT